TCAAGATGGATGAAGAAAGCACTATGTTATAGTATTAATATTTTTTGGAATTAGTTCAACTAATGGACTGTTAGATTGACTGCAATATGTACCGGTTCAAATACATCAAAGGTTTGGTAAAAATTTAATTGTGGAATCATACTCTTGAACATACAAACAAGAAATGTATTACCAAGTATCTAGTTGGATTGATATTTGAATAGCGTTAGACCACAAGTCTTATGATAAATGTAAATCTTATTTATCAAGATAGACGATGAATACATCACTAGGTGATGTGAATATTTGTTGGAATTAGTTCACACTAATAGATCGTTCATATTAACTGTAATACATGGTAAGACTAACTTTGTTACCTTCAAAAGGTATGAACATGTTTATCTCAATAAGACATAAGTCTAATACCTTTTAGGTATTCAGATCTCTCATAAAACGAAGTTAGAAATCAACTGGGAAATTGGATGAGATACTCATATCCAATAGGATTAATGAGCATCTTAGTCCAAAATTTATCGATTGTAACATCCCGGAATTCAGGAGCGCCTATTTAACCCTTCTTTTTTTGTCAAGTTGTCAAGATTAGCCCTTGAGTGGAAATTGTAGCAAATGAGTACGTTGGGCGTACTCAAGAGTACGCTGCGCGTACTCATGTGCTTATTTTGGACGCGGACTCGCCTAGGTACGCTGGGCGTACCCAGGGTTACGCTGAGCGTAGTTGGCCCAAGTGCAAAACCCTAATTGTGGCTTGCGGGCTATAAAAGGAATGAGATGGTCTTGTCCCCAGCCACCATCCCTTAGAGAGAAACCCTATGAGAGCAATATTATCGTTCTAAAGCTAGTGTGTGTGAGTTCTTGAGCTAGAAAGTGCCTTTGTGTGTTAGTGAAGAAGAAGAGGAGGTTCTTGTGGAGGCTAGAAGTTGAAGTGCAAGTTTGGATCTGAGTTCTTCAGAGGGAGGAGCTTCATTTAGAGGTAAAAAGCTCAGAACTTTCCTCTTTATTTTGGTTTGGTGTTGCATGGACCATTTCTAGGGATAAAGTCCCAAAGGTGGAGACTTTATGAGCATAAGGGACTCCATGGACCTAGATCTGTCCCATTTCAGTGATATTTGTGTTATAGATCCATAAAAAATCCATCTTGGTCGTTGTTATGAGGTCATGCTTGAATTATGAGCTTTCTAGAGTTGGGAAATGGAATGTTATGGGTGTTAGTGACTTGTCCAGCCATGCAAAGGCTTAAAGTCACCAACTTTATGGATTAAGAGGCTTAGAAATGGTCAGATCTAGAAGTTGGACGTGGGTCTTAACTGTTTAAGACCTCAAGAGCTTAGAGTCTGAAACTGGGAGTTACGCGGGGGGTAATCCCAGTACGCGCGGCGTAAGGGGTCACGCACCCCGTTTCTGTGAGGACGCCGGGTACGCCCAGCGTACATGTTTGGTACGCGCAACGTAACCCGAAGAGTTGACTTTTGTTGACTTTTAGGGTTTGGTCAACTTTAGGGTCTTTGAGCCATGAGAGGGGTAAAATGGTCTTTTACCCTTCTGAGAGTACTAAGAGAGGGAATAGTCTAGCCTTGAGAGATGTATTGATTTAGAGTGTTTATTTCATATGATTAGGCGGAGGCTAGACCAGATTTTACAGAGTTCGGGATTACCGAGTTACCCGAGGTGAGTCTTCTCACTATACTTTACCTAGAGTGGTAATTAGAGTTATGTGACAGAGTATCTTGTATGCTATTTATGTGATTGTGATACACTGCATTATTTCTATGTGATTCATGCCGTGTATGTTCCAGAGTTACAGAGTTAGAACCGGAAGGTTCACAGAGTTAGGACCAGAGGGTCCACAGAGTTAGGACCGGAGGGTCCACAGAGTTATAGCCTCGAGTGGCTAATATGTGTTATATGTGGTATTTTGGGGAACTCACTAAGCATTTATGCTTACCGTGTTATGTGATATGTGTTTCAGGTACCAACGAGAGTCGCGGGAAGGCGCCGACATGATTTGTACACACTGGCAGAAGATTAAGTGTTGAGATTCTGGGATATGTTTTATGGTGATGACATTGATATATGAGATTTTGAGAATATTATATGAGTTTTATTATGTTTGAAAAATGAAAAATTGTTTTAAAAATTTACGTCGTTACAATCGATCATCTAAAGAATTGTGAAAGAGTTTCACAAGCTAGCTCCATCCAGAACATTGCCATAAACAATGTTAATTGGAAAGAGAAACAAATTATTGTTGATTTGGTATTGGATAAACCATAGTATGCTTACCAACAATTCATGGATCACACCATGAATGGTGTTACAAGAATCCTTGGTTTTACACCAACTAAGAATGTTTTTTAGACACTCTCTAAGATGTGGAATAGGGTTGATCTCTTAATAACACATATAAAAGTCCACAATTATGAGGTGTATGCTCGTCATGAAGCGCTCGACTATCTAGAACCCAAAATAGAGTTGTGTTATCTCGATGGATATCCCAACAAATGTTTTGGATAGTTGTTTAACAAACCCTCTGAGAACAAAATATTTGTTGCTCGAATGGTAGTCTTCCGAGAGAGAGAGAGAGAGAGAGAGAGAGAGAGAGAGAGATGATTGTGATTTGTCTTATTTAAGATAAATTAATGAAGTGAACATACTAATATGAGGTTTCAAACGATTTGCAATGTTCGATTTCAAGTTGAATAAACGGGGTTTTGAGGCTCGACTATATAATAAAACAAACATGGTGGGATCGGATCGTGTTAAGATGTTAAAACCTTAGTCGAGTCACGTGAGGGGTGTTAAGGGGGGGGGGGGGGGGGGGAAGTGGGCAGCTACATAGCTTTGGGGTCCACTTTATATATATATATATATATATATATATATATACACACACACACACACACAATAACGGTAAGAGCCTTTTTCTGGCTCATCTTGGACATTTGAGGATATTTAAATGTTCAAGACCGGCCAAATCCTAAGATTTTACTATAGATTCTGCTTCAGATAAATCTTAATGAGATCAAAATCGTTTTTTGTTTGTATGATCTTAAAAAGATATAATTACCAAGATTTGGATGGTAGGGCGTGTTTGGGATTGGTTCTCAAACTTCTTATTGAATTTTTGGAAAACCCAAGAATTCCTGGTTTAAAAAAAAATCATTTTTTTGTTCACTGAAAAGTTAGTGTTTACTAACACCTTTTTTATGAGTTGTGGTGACCTGGTAAGATATGTGGCTCCTCTTTAGGTTCACGGGGCACTTCAGTCGCCCCTTCTCTCATCCCCTCTGACTGTTTTGGAGTGTCATTATCGGGGATGTCAACCACTATAGTGGCCTCCCCCAAAAGGAAGTCCACGTTTCACCTATTGAGAAGGCGTCGACCCAAGGAAATGGCCTCAACGGACTCTGCAAGCGGTGAATCCAGCCAAGAAAGCCGTCGTTTGGAGGCTGCACGGGTGATACGCCGAGTTAGTCCGGTCGACGCCTCCTCCTCTTCTGTATCAGAAGGCAAATGGTCCTCACGATAAACACCACCGACAGGCGCGTCAATCAACACCTGACCAACGGGAGAATCAGACCCGGGCGAAAATTCAATTGGGCAATCGGATGAGATACTCATATCCAATAGGAATAGTGAACATCTCAGTCCAAAATTTATCGATCATTTAAAGAATTGTGAAAGAGCTTCACAAGCTAGCTCCATCCAAAACATTGCCATAAACAATGTTAATTGGAAAGAGAAACAAATTATTGTTGATTTGGTATTGTATAAACTATAGTATGCTTACCAATAGTTCATGGATCGTACCATGAATGGTGTTACAAGAGGCTTTGGTCTTACACCAACTAAGAATGTTTTTTAGACACTCACTAAGATATGGAATAGGGTTGATCTCTTAATAGCACATATAAAAGTCCACAATTATGAGGTGTATGCTCGTCATGAAGAGCTCGACAATCTAGAACCCAAAATAGAGTTGTGTTATCTCGATGGATATCCCGAAAAATGTTTTAGATAGGTGTTTAACAAACCCTCTGAGAACAAAATATTTGTTGCTCGAAGGGTAGTATTCCAAGAGAGAGAGGGGGGCTTATTTAAGATAAATTGATGAAGTGATCATGCTCTATGAGGTTTCAAACAATTTGCAATGTTCGATTTCAAGTTGAATAAACGGGGTTTTGAGGCTCGACTATATAATAAAACAAACATGGTGGGATCGGATCGTGTTAAGATCTTAAAACCTTAGTCGAGTCTCGTGAGGGGTGTTGGGGGGGGGGGGGGGGGAGTGGGCAGTTGCATAGCTTTGGGGTCCACTTTATATATATATATATATATATATATATATATATATATATATATATATAACACTTATAATAACGATAAATGCCTTTTTTTCTGGCTCGTCTTGGACATTTGAGGATATTTAAATGTTCAAGACGAGTCAGATCCTAAGATTTTACTATAGATCCTGCTTCAGATAAATATTAATGAGATCGAAATCGTTTTTTGTTTGTATGATCTTAAAAAGATATGATTATCAAGATCTGGATGTTAGGGCGTGTTTGAGATTGGTTCTCAAACTCCTTATTGAATTTTTGGAAAAGCCAAAAATTCATTTTTTTGTTCACTGAAAAGTTAGTGTTTACTAAACACATTTTTATGAGTTTTGGTGATTTGGTAAGATATGTAGAAGATATGATTGATAACCTATTGACTTATGTTTAAATTATAACATTGCTTAAACCCTGTGGTCATGGAGGTTCACATGTAGTGACTCTAGGGCATGAGGCATAACTTCATGTGCGTAGCGAAAGATCCTCATTAGAGAAGTTCCATTTCCAAAAAAAAAAAAATTATGGATGTTTACCACAAACCCCTTAATAACTATTAGTTAAAGTGTCGATTTTTTAATAGTTTGTTAAATTTAATAAAAATAGATTTGACAGAAACAATAAGTGATAACATATGTCGATTACTATAATCATATATAATGTTAACTTATGAAATCAAATATATTGTATCTTTTACTCAAGAAGTGTAACGGTAAAGCTCACGCGATATATGATAATAGGAACTCACGCAAAAGTAGATCCAAAATCCCAGAAATATCAATCCAACTACACTCCCTCACAACTCACAAGCTTTTTGCATTTCTTCCGGTAGTCTACCGTCGTCTTCTTCTTGGAAACCCTAACGACCTCAATCCGACCGGCTGTATCATCTCAGTCGACTCCCCAAGATCTACAAATGGTGCGTTTCTGTTTTCTCTTTCACTCTTAAACCCTGTTTTAATGCTGGAAAAGGACGAACTAAACTAGGTATTGTCGCGATTTTTATTGTTATCGACAAAAATTTCTACTGTTGCATCCAGATCTATCTATTACTATTGTAGATATGGGGTTTCTTTTTTCCTTATCGAGATCAATTAGATCTGTTTATTCGAATTCCTAGATGTATGCTCAAATCCGGTAACCTGTGCATTAGTCCGTTGCATCTCGTTTTAGGTGTGGAATTTGTTGATTTAATCTATGCTGTGAGCATATTAGATTTAGGCCATACTTAAATCAGTATGTTCTGTAATACATTCTAATCTCCAATGCATGTACAGCCCCTTTAAAATCTGTGCAGCTTCATTGAACTAAACAGACTAATGGATAGTTCTGTTGGATCGACAAGACAGATTTGATCGTGATGTGATTTTGTATATGGACACTCTGAATAATTGTAAAAATTATAAACCGATTTTAAATTCTAAAGAACCTCCATAGTAGCTTTGATACGAATCAAAAGCAAAATACTGAAACTACAAATTTCTATCTTGTAGGTTTGGTGATAAACGTGGCTGAGTTGATTGAAGTCTCTGAATCCCAATCACATTCTTAACACAATGGCTTTGTCATCCCTCTCAAAAGGGACTTATTCATTCCTCCTCTTCACCTATTTACTTTTTCTCTCACATCTCTCCAATGGTTTCTACTTACCTGGAAGCTACATGCGTACATACTCAACAGGTGAAGAAATATTTGCCAAAGTCAATTCATTAACATCCATTGAAACAGAGCTTCCCTTTAGTTACTACAGTCTTCCATACTGTACACCCCCTGGAGGAATCAAGAAAAGTGCTGAAAATTTAGGAGAACTCCTCATGGGAGACCAAATCGACAACTCCCCTTATCGTTTTCGTATGAACATCAATGAATCTGTCTTCCTATGCACCACACATCCATTAAACGAACACGAAGTAAAGCTTCTAAAACAAAGAACACACGATCTATATCAAGTCAACATGATTCTTGATAACTTGCCAGCAATGAGGTTTGCAAATCAAAACGGGGTTAAAATCCAATGGACAGGGTTCCCAGTTGGGTTTACAAATCCCAACAAGAAAGACGATGATTACATCATCAACCATGTGAAATTCAGAGTGTTTGTCCACGAGTATGAAGGCACAGGGGTGCAGATAATTGGAACAGGGGAAGAAGGTATGGGAGTGATATCAACCAATGATGATAAAAAGAAAGCTTCTGGATATGAAATTGTGGGGTTTGAAGTTTTCCCTTGTAGTGTCAAATACGACCCTGAAAAAATGGCAAAACTTCATCAATACGATGAAGTCCCATCTTTAAACTGTCCTTTAGAGCTTGAAAAATCTCAAATCATCAGAGAACAAGAAAAAGTTTCCTTCAGTTATGAAGTTGAGTTTGTGAAAAGTGATATAAAATGGCCTTCACGTTGGGACGCGTATTTGAAAATGGAAGGAGCACGTGTCCACTGGTTTTCAATTCTAAATTCCTTAATGGTGATCTTCTTTTTAGCTGGAATTGTTTTTGTTATCTTTTTAAGAACTGTAAGACGCGATCTCACAAGATACGAAGAACTCGACAAAGAATCACAAGCTCAAATGAACGAAGAATTATCCGGATGGAAACTCGTTGTAGGCGATGTGTTTCGCGAACCCAATCACTCAAAACTGTTATCCGTAATGGTCGGAAACGGAATCCAAATCACCGGAATGGGAATCGTAACGATCGTATTCGCCGCATTCGGATTCATGTCACCGGCTTCACGCGGCATGCTTTTGACCGGAATGATCATTCTGTATCTCCTCCTCGGAACCGGAGCCGGGTATTCCGGAGTTTACCTTTGGCGAACGATAAAAGGGAGTTCCGACGGGTGGCGTTCCGTTTCCTGGTCCATCGCGTTTTTCTTCCCCGGAATCGTGTTTTCCATTCTTACGGTTATAAACTTCATTCTTTGGGGGAGTAACTCCACGGGTGCGATTCCGATCTCGTTGTACTTCATTCTCCTGTCACTCCTTTTTTGCGTGTCGGTTCCGTTGACTCTTTTGGGCGGGTATTTAGGGACACGGGCCGACCCGATTAAGTTCCCGGTCCGAACCAACCAAATAGCCCGGGAAATTCCTTCCCAAAAATACCCTTCGTGGTTGCTAGTAGTTGGGGCGGGTACCCTTCCTTTCGGGACACTTTTTATTGAATTATTTTTCATCCTATCGAGCATCTGGCTTGGGAGATTTTACTATGTGTTTGGGTTTTTACTGGTGGTGCTTGTGCTGTTGGTGGTGGTTTGTGCTGAGGTGTCGGTGGTGTTGACTTACATGCATCTGTGTGTTGAGGATTGGCAGTGGTGGTGGAAGGCGTTTTATGCTTCGGGATCGGTGGGCGTTTATGTCTTTTTGTATTCGGTGAAGTATTTGGTTTTTGATCTTCAGAGTTTGAGTGGGCCCGTGTCGGCTGTGGTGTATGTTGGGTATTCGTTGATTATGGCGATTGGACTCATGTTGGCTACTGGGACTATTGGGTTTATTACATCTTTCTACTTTGTTCATTATCTGTTTTCTTCTGTGAAGATCGATTGATTGATAAGAGGAGTAGAAGGCCTGTAAAATGTAAATTTTCCGGGTTATCAAGGTTAGAAAGAAATCCCAGTAGCAAAATATGTCTATGTTTTTTTTTTTTCCTATGTTCGAGTTATGATTGAAAGATCGTGTTCTTGTTTGTTCCAACGTTTAAAGAAATAGATGTTATGATTTTATTTTATTTTATTATCATACTTTTGCTTAAAGTTCGTTTTTGGATATTAAGCCTTGTGATGCCACCAATTTATAATCAGATTTTTAGAAGTTATATGGTAAATGTAACATTACATTGCCATAATTAACTTTTCAGTTGAATATATTTTGCTTAATAGTTATCATCATTAATCACAAGGAAACGATTCCTTAATTTACACGCAATTCGTGAAATTAGTTTAATTTGGTGAGTTCATTTTTCTGACAAAATACTTTGTCAACTTTTTTGTGAAACGGCGGGAATACTAACAACAAATAAATTTGAAAGTAACAAGCGAAATTCAATTATTTCGTGCAATCAATAACATTTTGTTTGTAAGTTCAATAGACAGGCATATTGTTAGATCGATACTTTCCATAGCATGCAAAACAGATTTATGGAAATATTTTTTTTTAATTTGTCTTGATCAAATTTGCCAAATCCCCCAAATGCACTTAGCTTTTGAATTAGCAGCCTCAGTAATAGATCCAATGACCCGATTACCATTTACTCCTCATGTTTCTTATTCGAAGCGAACTTAAACAAGGCTATCTTTTATTATTTTCCTTTAATCCTTTTTATTATCGCTATACTTCCTTGAGATATGTGAATTAGAGTTGGGGATTCTTGTATGTTTTTTTTTGCGCTGATTTTTTGGGCTGAATTTTATGTTTTAAAAAGTGAGTTAAGGGGAGTTAGAGTTGGGTTTCAAGCGGTTGAAGAAGACATGGCTGATTTTGTTGGATACGAGGCATAAAAACTCTCTTTTATGTACATTGTATCCCGGGTGTTGCTAAATTTGATGGGTGGAAGGATGTGATTGGAAAGTTCACAACAAAACTTTCCAACTCAAATGTGAAAACCTTGTGAGTGGGTGGTAGATTAACTTTACTTAAGTCGGTCCAAATGAACATTTGGACTCTTTGGTTTCAAATAGCTATGTGTCATCGGTTTGGGTTGAAAATTTTAAATTGATTAACCGACCTCGAGATCAAGGTGTAATCCTCGACTCTTATTGTTAGAGGAAGGTGGGTAGTGGCACTAAAACTATTTTTGGGGAAGATCTATAGTCGGCGATTCCATGTTAAAGAATAAATTCCCTAGAATTTCCCACCTTAATATTGATATTCAAGTTTAGGTCTTGGATAGAGTCCCACTCGTGACTCACAAAGGGCGTCTGCATCGGCAGCCAAGAGGTGGTGGCAAGATGTTATAATGCAATGAAAATGGTGGGAAATGGATATGCCCGGTTTCAATAGCATGGAAAAAATTCGATTAGTTGGATGATTCGATGGTGGGAGATGGATATACCCTTACACTTCAAAGTTTCTAATCTCATTCGCATAGGGAATGTTGTAGAGTAATCACATCCTGCCTGTTAGATGACTTGTAAAACTTAGTCACATAAATCTAAATTTTGAAGGTTAATAAGCTTTTGAATCTAGTACACAAGAAGATTCTTTTTTATTTCAATATTTTTTGACGTCCAAAAAAAAGTTTAGAATCTTTTTTCATCAGATACATAAATTTAAAACACTCTATACTAGGCAAGTAGATTTTTAGCTTTACAATTAGTGCACAAAATGGCTCTTTTTTATCCAGTGTATTTATATTTTGATACATAACTTTCAACCACAGCAATTCATTTCGCTTTGAATTCCCAAATATTACATTTACATTAATAGTAAAAAAAAGGAGGGGGGGGGGGGGGGGGGGGGGTTATATACTTACTCAAATTTGATACAAGTAACATGGACACATGGTAAAAAGGTTGTTTTCCTTCTGAAAGGAATCTAATTAAAGCACATATAGTTCTACATATTTGCATACAAATTAAGGGTCTCATACAATAGTTGGGTAAAGAGCCAATATATATTATTGGGAACGTGTGTATAGTAATGGTAATATTTTGTTTGGTTTGCATAACACAAAGATCATTGATAATAGATAAGATAACGACGTTTTTATGTGCCTATAGTTTTATGAATAGTTAGTGTTTTAAATATGATTATAAGAACTATGGTGATAAAGTATATAGGTTATAGTCAAATCGAGAGTTGTAACATATAGTTATACCAATGAAGTTGTGTTGCTTGGGTGATGTAAGGTAAAGGGATTAAATTAAACTTAAGTAAATAGTATATAATTATAATAACTAGGAAAGTAAAAGAAAAGGAAGCACAGCATCCCACATCGGCTGAATGAAGCAAACAGACAAGAGAAAGCTGTGTATAAAAGGGGAAGCCTAGGAAGTGAATAAGCATACCTTTCTCGGCCTTTTGGCTAAGATCAAGTGTAGTATCTGTTCTTATCAGTTTAATATCTGATATGTGGGCCATCGGCCCACTCGATATTAATCTTATTTTTTATGGGTGAAGGCCCGTTACAGTAGCTTGCTGCTGGGGTTCTTCATGTGTCGCCTTGGTCTTACACTACAGCCAAGGCCTGGCGCACCCCTCCAATCCAAAAGTTGAAATTTTTTACTTTGGCTACCCAAAGAGCTAAGCTGTAATTCTTCAGCTATTATTAACTGACTGGTATAAGTAGGCTATTCTTAACTCACATAATTGTATGTAAGATTGTAGATGCCAAGTATTAGAAGGTACTTGCTCCGATTTTAACATGTGGACTTGGAGGCCTACTTGTCTGAGAATATAGATTCTAACAGCTTATGGCTTAAAAACAGCAATAAGAGATTAAACCTCTATCCTGATCATGCCACCATACTTATTAATTTGGTGCTACAAGTATATGAGAGATGCAATGCTCTAAATAATCACATTTTCCAAAAACTACCTAATATAACCAGGTTAACCCATCATCATTCTTTTTTTTAGGCTCAGTCTCAAGTCTCAACCAAACATTCCACCCTTGGCAACAGATATAGGTTCCAGTTTCCGAATGTCTGACCTCTTACCACTTTTTATTATTCAAGTCCTCCTTATCATAAATCCATAATCTATCTACACACGTACAGTCTAAGAAATATTATAGCTTTAAAATAATAGTCTATTTCTGCTAAATGAAACAACATAAGACCTCGCCAACATCCCATCTCACTTTCATTCTTTCAACGATCTTCAATCCGGTTGTTTCATTTTATTCTTGGATAAATTATTTAGTTTTCCCCGTTTCACCCCTTATTAATAAAACACAATACAAATTCGCTATTTTACATATGAATGAGAGCATATCTAGGCAACACACTTAGAGGCTGTTTGTTTGGCCTCTTAATGATCCCATAAAGAGGTTGGCTCTGAATAGTTCAGATTCAGAGCGTTTGGTTGGAGTTTTTTTAACCTCTTAATCGGTCAGATATAAAAGAAATGGGTCTTGATAGGTCAGAGTTGTTGAGAAGTCTGGATGAAAAAATTTCCAAATAATACCCTTAGCCCTAAAAAAACGTCCGCCTCTCTTTTTTTCTTCCCCCTGTTCGCCCATCGTGCAACATTCTCTCTTTTCCAGCCGATTCTCACCTTGCCATCGGACCTCCGGCAGCCCCGCTCCACCTCCGCCTTCGCCGCCTCTCTCCTCGCCGCTTCCCCCTTCGCTGGTAAGTTTTCTAATCTGTCTTGTTATGGTCGTTTTTTTAGGCATCCTTCTGGTCGATTTTTCTGTGTTCTTGTGTTTAGATGATCATTTTTGTGAAATCGATTTTCTCAATCCCTAAAACCTGTTCTTGTGTTTGGCTGATCAATTTTGTGAAATCGATTTTTTCTTGTGCTTGGTTGATCAATTTTTGTGAAATCCATTATTGTGAAATTATTTATTGTGAAATCATTTTTTACGCTGCTCAATATTGTATGAAATTGGTTTGATGTTCATCAAATAACAATGAACTGATCGAATAAGTTAATAGGTATATATGGATCGATGCTTGGATCCATATATCTCCTTCAAATTTAAGAGTTTATTGTCAAATGTATGTTAAAGATTTGATGATTGAAGTTAATTACGGATGATTTTTACCCATAATCAAATTGTGAACTATTTCCTATTTAGTGAGTTTATTGTCTTTTACTTGTTGAATCAACTGGATTCATATGTGATTTGTATACTTGTAATCTTTAGGTTTGGTTTCTTACTTGTGTTTGGTTCACAATCTGAAAATATATGTTCGTTTTTCTTCTAACAACACTTTTTTTTTATTACTTTTGATTCTCAACTTTTGTAGGGAGCAATGCCACTGGAAGTAAACAATAGCAACAAAGATTGTGATGAGTTATCTTAGAATCGCAATCAACTTGTTTCAATCGAAACCCGACAATCAAATTTGTTTGAACCGATTTATTGCAATATATTTTTATAAAATCTATTATACTATGATCTAAGGATCTATATATGACATATTTGGATGTTGTATGATATCTAATTTGAATGTTGTATGGAGTTTATTTTGTATGCAAAAAATAGTTTATAGGGTTAAAATGGTTATTTTTCTTGTTAAGAGGCAGCTGTTCAGATGCCTAACCAAACATCAGTTTATCGTTAAGATACAGATTCATAAAGAGCCTCTGTATTATCCAGACATCTATATCATTCAGATATGAATCTTCCAGATGCTACCAAACAGCCCCTTAGTATCCCAGGATGGCACATACAACTACTTGATTTTGTCGTACAAGTGTAAAATTTTGTAACTTTTTTTTGTGTTAGCGTGCAACTACAAAAAAAATTACATGCAACTATAGGTCCAAAAACAAACAAATATGGTGCAACAAATAATAGCTCAAACCTTAAAAGTATAACTCAATGTTTATCTAATAAGTAATAACCCAATGCAGAAAGCCCAAATGTGTGTGTTTGT